TAGGAGCTCCGCTGCCCACTCGCAGAGAAATATTCACGACAGGCTAGGCCCCCAGGGAGGTCAACCCGATAACCCTCGCAATGAGGATCGTGAAGAGAGGCACTCCACTGCTGGCCGTCAAGCTGCAGAAAATCCCTCGCAAGCGCAGTCCACCAACACGCCTCCTAGGCAGCGCGGACGAGAGGACCGACCCGCGCGGACCAACGAGGAGGTCAATCAGCGTCGCCCGAATCGTAAAAGTCGCCAACGTGATCGACCAGCAATGCGCGCGGAAGACGTTGAGAAGCTTGTGAATGACCGACTTCGAGACTTGAAAACTAGCGGGAACCTCGAGGATGCACTACGTAAGGAGATGGATCAGGCGATCTCTACTCCTTTCACCCCTGAAATCGAGCAGGCTGCTCCCCCGAAGCGATTCTCAACGCCTTCGTTTACGCATTTCAAGGGAGATTCCGATCCCGAGAGCCACCTAAAACACTTCAAAAGTGTCATGATCCTCCACAAGGCCGACGATGCACTGATGTGCAAGGCATTTGCAATGACCTTGCGAGGAATAGCTCAGGACTGGTTTCACACCCTGCCATCTGGGTCGATCAACAGTTTCAAGGAGCTTGCCTATGTCTTCACTAAAGAATACACTTCTTATCGGACGATCAAGAAGAACCCAGATCACCTGTTCAACCTGCGTAAGAAGCCCGACGAATCCATTCGAGCTTACATCAAGAGGTTCAAAGCAGAAAAGGCCAACATCGTAGGGTGCGACGATCAAATCGCATCATCTGCCTTCAAGAAAGGTCTTCCAGCAGAACACGAGTTACACCGCGAGCTGACTATCACTCCCAGCCAGACTTTAGCAGAGGTCTTCGGGACCGCAGAACGCTACGCGCTCTGGGATGACGATCGAATTGCCGTGAAGAAGTCCACTGAGCAGGGAGATCGGCAGACCAAGCGGGCGGGCCAAAGAAGCGATGGATTTAGCAACAAGAATAAGGACAAGCGCAGGTCACACCCACAAGAGGACGCTAAGGCAGGAGAGAACTACACCAAGTTCACTATCCCTATACATCAAATCCTAGCCCAAGTGAAAAACAAACCTTGGGTAAGAAGACCGCCACCCTTGAAAGGAGATCCAGACAGGAGGGATACTAGCAAATACTGTGCCTTCCATGGGACGCATGGACACACTACGAACAACTGCTTCGCTTGGAAAGCACACCTCGAAGAACTCGTGAGGGAAGGTCACTGCACGGAATTCATCGCTAAGCAGGCCATCCGACAGATAGAGGACCGCGACACCGCCAAGGAGCCACCCCAAAAGGTCATAAGGATTAACACAATCCTAGCCGACTCCGAGGAATCTGGGTTGACCAGCAAGGAAAAAAAAAGGAAGATCAAACAAGCCACTATGATCTTCCAAGTCTCAACCGACCTTCTGCTAGCAGAAGAAGATCTTGTAATCGGTTTCCAAAAGAAAGATCTAATTGGCCTTGATCTACCACACAATGACACTCTTGTCATCAGCATTCAAATCGCTCAGGCCATGGTCGACCGAATCCATGCAGACGAGGGCAGTGCAGCCAACATCCTACAATTGACAGTTATCCAACAGATGGGCTTAGAGGCAAAGATCAATAAATCAGCCAAGTCGCTGACTGGCTTCAAT